CGCTATCTAATATACACTTCAGATAGCGGTTATAAGGAAACCGCTATTATATCCTCTCAATTATGATCGATCATTTCAATTTATGATCGATCAGAATCAGTATTTCGCTCGAGCGGAGTAGTGTCGCTCAAGCGAAATACAACCCGAGAATGCCAATTTTGTGCAGGGGCGTTTCGCTCGAGCGAGAATATTGTCACTCAAGCGAAATACATTTTAGATAGCGGTTCCACAAGAACCGCTCTTAAAATTGCACTTCTAATAGCGAGTTAACCATTAACCGCTATCTAAATTATACTTTAGATAGCGGTTAACGTGGAACCGCTATCATATCTTCTCAATTATGCATAATGAAAACTTACATTAACTATTTTTTTGAATATTATGTTTTTAAATTTGCTATTAGAGAAAACCTTTCGAATTCAAAATGTTAAATACTTTTAAATATTAAAATTAACTTTATCAAAAATTAGGAAAAAAAATTAATCCAAAAGAGTTCAAAAATGTATTATAATATTGTCAATTTTGAGTTTAATTATATTGTTCATTCTCAAAGTAAAAAAATATATTGTAACTATTTTAATTTAATAAAATATAATTTAAATTTTTAATACTAAAATTAAAAGATTTATGTTGCATGAGGTTTCTTCACTTAAAAGATTTTGCAAAATGCCTCTACAAATGTTTTTAACAATTAAAAACAAAGTATTTTGACAAAAGCTTTCTCAAATGCCTCTACAAAGTATTTTTAACAATTATATTGAGTTTAATTCTACAAATTAAAAGATTAAATAATAATAAATTTAATTCTTTAAATTCAGTAGCTAGAAACTAAAATTATAGTTTCTCTGTTTTAAATAATTAAAATAAATATTTAAAAATAAAAATCAAAACTAGTATTATCTTAAATTTATTAAAAGTGTAATTAAATATCTATTTTCTTAATTTTATTTGTTTCAAACTTCTCAATTCTACATTTTTGTAAGTTCTATCATTATATTATCATCCTCATCTCCTCCCATGTTCTACTTTATCTTTACAATAGTCAATATTCTTAACTAATTTATAGTTTTAATTATAATTTTTTAGTATATATTTTGAAATTAATCAATTCTAATCTATTATTTGAAAAACTAATCAATTCTAATCAATAATTTAGAAAACTAATCGATTATAATTAATTATTTGAAAAAATTATCAAATATGATCGATCATTTCGAAAATCTAATCGATCAGAATCAAATATCGCTCGAGCGAGACTAGAGTCGCTCAAGCGTAAATACAACCCGAGAATGCCAATTTTGTGCAGGGGCGTTTCATTCTAGCGAGAAGAGTGTCGCTCAAGCGAAATACATTTAAGATAGCGGTTACACAGGAACCGCTCTTAAAAGCTCACTTAGATAGCGGTTAACCTGGAACCGCTATTATATCGTTTCAATTATGATCGATCAGAATGCAGTTATGACCGATCAGAACTGCTTTAATCGATTAAATCTCGTTTCAATCGATTAAAACAATTTCTGCATACGCTTTTAATCGATTAAAACTTATTTTTATCAGTTAAAAATTTCTACACAAGTGTTTTATATGATAGCGGTTTCACTGGAACCGCTCTTAAAAGAGAACTTCTAATAGCGGTTGCACCATCGCTCGAGCGAAAATAGAGTCGCTTAAGCGAAATACAACCCGAGAATGCCAATTTTGTGTAGGGGGCGTTTCGCTCGAGCGGGAAGATTGTCGCTCAAGCGAAGTACATTTTAGATAGCGGTTAACCTGGAACCGCTATTATATCGTTTCAATTATGATCGATCAGAATGCATTTATGACCGATCAGAACTCTTTTAATCGATTAATTCTGGTTTCAATCGATTAAAACAATTTTTGCACAACGTTTTAATCGATTAAAACTTATTTTTATCAGTTAAAATAACTTGAAAAGTTTTACAAGAAAGTTTTGCAATATTTCAATCGATTGAATCGCGAAACAATCGATTAAATCAACTTGGAAGATTTTTTGTAAAGTGTTTATTGTCGCCACAGTTGCAGGTCGCTTGGATTCAAGGTGGTTGAGGTTTGGGTTAGGGTTCGAGGTCAGCTGGGTTTGCGTTGGGTTTGACCGCACGACGACTGGAGTTTGGCTTCAGATTAGGGTTCGATGCTGCCGGAGATGGGTTTGGGCCTCAAGTTCGTCGAGTTCGTCGAGGTTGAGGCTGGGGTTGAGTTTGGAATTCGCTTGGGGATGGACAAATGAAAGGTCTAGGTTAAGCTCGAACAAGTATGCTCGCTTGCTGTCTTGTCCTTTGCTGCGAACTAGGATCGCTCGCCAACTAGGTCAGATTTGAGCAATAATTTTTGCAAACATATTACCCATATTTGGGGACAAGGGGCAGAACAACCTCTCGATCTGCTTAGTGCAGCCCAGGAATAAAAATGTCAGTTAATGCACGAAGAAGATGAAGAAGATGAAGAAATACGCGAAGAAGATGAAGAAAATTTGGGCGCGAAGATGAAATTTTCGTACCTAGGTCAGATCCTACAGATGCGAAAAAAATAAAAAATTACCACGGAAAAACAAAAATAATTACATAAATTAAATATAGATTAATTAAAAAAATAAATTAAATAATAAAGTGACTCGAAATAGTAACCGATTTTATGTGACCGAAAATTCGGTTACTATTTCTGCTATTAGACTAAAAAATAATAATTTGGTTACTCGATTCGGTCATCGATAGTAACTAAATTTTTCGATCACCGATTTCGGTTACTATTTGACATTTTTCTAGTAGTAATATTCAATCTGCATCTTCCAAAATCCGAAATCGCTTCCATTGAACTTGTCAATCTTCACTTTCCCGTCTTCTGTCATTGCTCCCACTTGCATGAAAAAAAAAACTAAGCTTTTGTTATCAATTGTTTGGAACACAAATTCAATACAAGACAAAAGTAAATAACAAGAACAAACGAAATTTACGTAGTTAAGTCAAAGTGACTTATGCCCACGATTCTAATAGATGATAATTCTCATTCATTAAATTAGGTTTACAATTACATGAGTATTTATAATAAAAAAAAAATAAATGGGTCAAACCCAATAACCCTTCATACTCTACATACTTAAAAGATCTAACTATTTATTATTTTCTTTAACATACCATAGATAAAAGAGATTATTTGTAAGAGGTAATCTAATACTTAAATTAATATTAACGAATTAATAATTAAAAATTAGGATAAATAAAAGAAATACAAAATATTTTAAAAATAAAAATACAAATGTAACAGTATGAAAATAACATAATAAATATTTGAATAATTTTGGATATCTCATATGCGAAAATATTCTCGGATTATATTATCCTCTATTTTGAAGAGGATAGGTCCAAGAAACCATTCATAATATTTATAATATATTAATATGTCATTATGTAACCAACATTACACTTATTAATAAATTCAAAAATAAACATACTAATTTAAAATTTATATATATTATATTTTGTTGTTCAATAAAGTCTCTTGATACTTTTTTATTTTTTTTATCCATTTTTATATTTGAGATATTTTCCATTTTTAACTTTCGTATGTCACGATTTTATTTTTAAAATGCGTTCAATGGATTGAAAAAAAGAATGATATATATAAACTACCATTCATCTTAAGTGACGTGAAACTCAAGAATGAGCAAGAACATTTTTGTTCATATATATATATATATATATATATATATATATATATATTTTTTTTTTTTTTAGAGTTATATAAAATTGTAAAGATATTGTTACTGTACATAATATATTATCCAAATTTGATAAAACTTGAATTTGCAGGCCTTGACATTGTTGGTTCCATTGAAAGGAGCCCAATGAATGAGTTGTTAGAAAGTAGTGGTACGTGGGGGACTCTCTGGGCATTATTCCAGTATCTATCAATGGGTGCCATCTTTACTCTATGCTCCCTCTTTGTTTTATCACTACACACATACCTACATCAATCTTTGGATTAACTTCTTCAATCATTTCTTACCGATAAATAATCCTTTTTAAACAAATTCATTCTTCTTTTCTTAAACAACTTTCTCCCGCTATTTTCACTTATCCATAATATTACTTCAATTCTTCTCTTTACTTCTTTTCAACAACTATTGTATCATTTTATTTCAATAATAATTCTCAACACATGCATTTTTCTTCTCTACAATGATTTCATTCTGTAAATTTTATACTAAACAATTATCTTAAATATATTCTGTCTTCTCTTATTTAATATGATTTTTCAGTATTTTTTTTCATCCACAACATTAAAACAAAAAATTGCACTCAAGAGATTTTATCTTAACTGTATTCCAACAAATGTCATGTTAATATAATGAACATTTTTATGATTTTTTCTTGATTTTTTCGTATTTTATTATTTTTAAATTGAATTTGAATATATATATATATATATATATATATATATATATATATTAAAAATGACCAATTATGAATCTAAAATATAATTTATATGTTTAAAAATATTCATCTTATTAAAATAACCATACTAACGCACTAGTTACTATATAAAACACACATTGTAACATTATATTTATATAGAATTATATACAAGACATACATAGTGTTATGAAAAAACATATGGATAATCTATATCTACAACAATATATAAAAATGGTAATGTAATTTATTTATTTTTCTATATTGATAAATATATTTGTATAAATTAAGGGAAAGAGTAAAATATTTTAAAATTATTGTCTCAAATAATATTCTTAATTCATGTAAATGAATTTAAAAGTGAGATTAATTTAAAGTGTAGGAAGTATCAATTTGAGTGAAAATAACTAAAGTAGCGTGGCTAGTTGCATGGAGGAAAACAATAGTTATTAAAAGCAAATAAGAAAGGGGCATGGAATTGCAAAATAAAAACCTAGGTAACGGAAAGCTTTGCACTACGACAGGAGTGGTTCCATAGACATACCTGTAACGGTGCTTCCGTGACCATCAATGGCGACAAAAGCGTTGTCCTTCGCTCTGTCCTTCAATGACCTCACCAACTGCTTCTCTTCCAATCCGCCACAGGCCGCCGCTGCCAAAGTTTCCGTCTTTACCGTCAGATGCTCTTCGGGTAACCTCACAATGGGTTTCCTCAATACCTTTCAAAACGCTTTCTTTTCTCAAGGACCTATTTTTTAGTGCATTTCGTGACATGAGAATTACTATCTTTTTACCCCTTTGATGTGAATGTCCCGTGTTTCGCTTTTGGTGTTGGAGGGTATTGTTAATTTGCTATCCGTGGTTCAAATAAATTGAAGCTGTTGTATTGCATGAGACATAGGTAGCCGAGAAAGGCCTTGGAAAAACTCAGATGCTAGATTGGTGCTCGAAGATGGTTCTATTTGGAGCGCGAAATCATTTGGTGCTTCAGGGACACAAGTTGGCGAAGTTGTTTTCAATACATCACTGACAGGGTCAGGAAACTATGAATCTTGGGATGCGTGTCTTTTTAATGGCTTTGCTTACAAGCTAAATTGTGGTTGTCTTTGTTATGTGTGTGATTCTCAGGTATCAGGAAATTTTGACCGATCCTAGTTATGCTGGCCAGTTTGTGCTGATGACAAATCCTCATATTGGGAATACTGGCGTTAATTTCGGTTGGTGTTTTCTTTTAATAATTTGAGTGAGTCTTGAATTGTTGTGCTTGGAAGATATTTGAAAAACTGCATTTTGTTTCGCTGTTGCCAGATGACGAGGAATCAATGCAGTGTTTCCTTGCTGGTCTTGTAATTAGAAGTTTGAGCATCAGGTTCCGTTCTTGTGTTTTGAAATCTTTCATGATTGTCTGAGGTTCAATTGGTGTACTTACTCTTTCTATCTCTACGCAATGCATTTTTATTCAGTACCTCTAACTGGAGATGTGCGAAGGCACTGGGTGATTACTTAGCTGAAAGGAATATCATGGGAATTTGTGAGTAGTTTATGTAAAACGATGTTCTGTGAAGAATGTTGTTCTCTGCAATCTGCATAACTTGAGTTTTGGTTTTTGATTTTGATATTACTATGTGATGCAACAGATGATGTTGATACTCGTGCAATCACACGCAGATTGCGGCAAGATGGAAGTCTTATTGGTGTCTTGAGCACGGACAATTCCAAAACAGATGAGCAACTGCTTCAGCTGTCTAAGTCATGGAACATTGTTGGTAAGTATGAGTTTGAGTTTATGTACATGTTTCTAAAATTGGAATGATATGGATGTTGTTTCATTTTCCAGGTGTTGATCTAATAAGTGGAGTATCATGTAAAACTCCACATGAATGGGTTGATAAAACAAAGCAAGAATGGGAGTTTAGTTCCAGTAAAGTGCACGGAGAGACTTTCCATGTATGTGATGCAGTATGCACTTGACTATTGGCTAGTTTAATTTATATTGCATGCTGATGAATGTAAATGCAGGTAGTTGCTTATGATTTTGGGATCAAGCATAATATTCTTAGACGCCTAGCATCCTATGGCTGTAAGATCACTGTTGTGCCAGCTACGTGGCCAGCATCGGAAACTTTGAAGATGAAGCCAGATGGGGTTCTTTTCAGCAACGGCCCTGGAGATCCATCTGCTGTTCCATATGCTGTTGAAACAGTAAAGAACATTATTGGAAAGATCCCTGTTTTTGGAATTTGCATGGGCCATCAATTGCTAGGCCAGGCTTTAGGAGGTAAAACATTTAAGATGAAATTTGGTCACCATGGAGGAAACCATCCTGTTCGTAACCTTCAAACTGGCCATGTTGAAATTAGTGCTCAGGTATGTGAACTAAAGGATGGTTATCTGTTACTTCTTATTTTTTGTGTTCCGCCACAATTCTACTTAAAAATCCATTAGAGTGCATTAGGTGTGCTCAGTGCTGAGGGAGACAAACAATTTGTTTTAGACCTATGTTTATTCTTGTTTTATCAAGAAAAAATGTTTTCATGTTAAGTATTTTGTTGTTTTATTCATGGTCTTGTGTTGTGCAATATAAATTGCTATGTAAAATTTGCAGAACCACAACTATGCTGTTGACCCTGCCACACTACCGGAAGGAGTCCAGGTTACTCATATCAATCTCAATGATGGAAGTTGTGCTGGTCTTGCTTTCCCAGCACAACAACTTATGTCTCTTCAGTACCATCCTGAAGCATCCCCTGGGCCTCATGATTCTGACTACGGTGAGACACTTAGAAACTTGCAGCTTATTAAAAATACAGAAAAAAATAAAAATAAAAGGCTTGATATGATCATCAATCCATATGTGCATAGTCTTGAGAAATGTTGGGTTCAAGAGCTGAAATGTGAGTTATCTAGGATGTCTCTATTCCAATGAACCTACATTTTTCATTTCTAAATACAAATTTGAAATTATGATTTGTTCAACAAATAAATACCTTGAGTGTTTGTTGGTAATGCAGCTTTTAGGGAGTTTATTGAACTGATGAAGCAAGCAAAAAACAGAACAAAGGAAAGTCTACCCCAATTATCAGCGCTGCATAGCGGTTGAAGCAAATCTTCTCTCCTCTTAGCGTAATGAATAAAAGCATCTGCTAAAAAGTTATGAGTGTCTATGATTTTGTAGATGAGTTTGTTAAGGTTATCTAGGGATCAATTGAGTTTTCCCTTGTTTCATTTTTCTGTGCAAAGAGTAAGCACGATCATGATGATTGTCATAAACCTCAATGAGGCTTAATGTTCTACTACTCGCAGTCAGCAGCATCAAACTTTGGTTACTGGCTTTACTAATTTTAAGATTAATAATGGTTTCCTTTCATGAAATATTGATATTAAGCTAATCTAAACATGCCTTACACAAAGAATGCCTTAACTGTGTACACTTTGAATATGCAGGGTTTGCACTTTGGACTGATTAATGTTTCATAATTCCTCATAGTTTTTTTTTTTTTTTTTTTTTTTAACATCAGATAAAGACAAAATCTCATTAAAAAAAATTACAAAAATAACTCTAAAATTACAGAAATGCAAAATTTTGTAAAATGATGAAAGAAATGAAAGTGGATACTGGTATAAATTACTAAAACTCCATCACATCTTTTTGCTGACTCATTGGAAAGTGATACGCAAGCTACTTTGATTTGATGTTTATTATTAGTTTTATACATAATTTGATTTATAGAAATTTTTATACACATTTTTTAGAAATTTATTTAATTTTGTAAAATTAGTATATAAGCTAATTTTATTTATGAATAAGTCTTTTTTTTCTCTTTAAAAATATTTATAGAAAAAATGATTCAATAAACCCGAAACAGAGAGTTTGATTATCTTTAACGCAGGGGTGACTAATCAGTTTGATTTATTGATTGTTCATACGGTTTGTGGTAGGTGTGAGATAAGTGAGTACGAACTGAAATATCAAGTCATTTTGATTAAAGGAATGAGACCTTTAGTGTCTATGCATAATGGTGTATTTTTAAATAATGTTAGTGAAAACTTCTCTTCAGCGTGACCCTTTTTTAAGTGGTAGTGCAGAGATGAGCAATGGAGGTATGAGTGATCTTATCCACATTCACTATTTTTCCTTTTAATTATAATTTTAAAGATCTACTATGCTACATGATGTCATTTAAGTTATCCTGGTTTTCACATGTAAAAAGTGAAAAAAGAAGGGAAAAGGGAATGTACTAGGAAGTTTTTATTCCACTAAAATTATATTCATTCATAGAAGGCATCATAAGGTAGATCCTGCCGCCACTACTTCACCCTTTCTCACCTAGCTAGACACAAAAGTAGATAATTCATGATTCATTTATTATAAATATATGAAGACAAGGGAAGAAGTTGTATATGGTAAATTTGAAGTTAAATATATTATGAAGTTAAATATATTGTGAAACAGGTATGTAGGTATCTTTGTTGGTTTCCTTTCCCTCTCAGAACCTCACAATTTGCTTTAACGATAATGCCAATAGGCACGCACATTTACCATATGATGTTGCTAACGTAGTATTTCGATCCTTAATGCGTTGAGCTTTATACCAAATCAATTTTCAACCGTTGGGGATAGTGTGGTTAGTCAGTGTTAGCAATGAAACCAAACACTCTGTCAGCTACTACTATATCCTACAACCTCTCACTTTTAGTACACCCTCTTTCATTTGTTACTTCATTAGTGCTTTCACCCTCACCCTCCATTCATCATATGCTCCATTGACTGTATAAAGTACACCACTTTCCATTCTCCTTCCTTTTTCTATATTTTTTCTTCGTTTCTAGCTTCCAATCACCACCAGATTATGGACTATGGAGACATTATTCATATCACCAAACCATATTTTGCAACTATCATTTCCTTTAATGTTGCCATTTTTAATAATTTAACTAACAACAGACTGTGTTTCAAGCAATATATTTTCATATTTATTATCTTCCCATATTCTATTCCTACTGAGTTGTATGGTGTTTAAGTTTTAAATTCTTTGCCCCCACAACTCTGTGATCATGCATGACCTTCATCCCAAGGAACTAATTATCTTCAAATTACATGTTTCTGATGTTGGAACACAACTAGGTTACATATTAGCTTTAAACTTAAAGAAATAACGACACTTTAAGGTTTGGTCAAACGAAATAATTAAAATATGTTATGTCTTGCCGGCGTAAGTAAAACACTGCTTAATTATGGGAAATGACTCAATTGGCGAAGTGAATTTTAAATAGATTTAGTTAGCCTCTTATAAATTAAAAAAATGAGCCATGTCTCGTTTGAAAAAGACATTAATTTATTAAACAAAAACCTAAGATGATTGGTTGTAAAATTCACTACTTAAAATGATGTCTTTTTAACATGATCATATGTTATGTATAAGAGCGCATCCCAATAGATGTGGTTAGAATTGCACATAGTTAAGTAAGGAACTAGTCTTTCTAATAATGTATGTGGTTGGGAAAAAGTAACTTACATGTCTTTGAATTAACTTATTATTTAGAGAATTATTTTTTTTATTCTCTGATAAAATCTAGAAAAAAGAAACTATTTATTTGGTCTTAAGCACCATCAATCATACACTTAATTTCCTTAAAAGGCATGAAATTGCTGAGGTGCTTGCCTCCTCAGCATCTTAATTTAGCTGCTTGAATTAGAAATAATTTTCTAGCCAATCAAATTAAGTCCACAAATATTACTCTCTCCTGTATACTATTTTAAAAAGTTTTCAAATATTAAAATTCATGAATCTATCACGAAAGATCAGCGATTTAGAGTTTTTAATATTTACTTTAAGAATGAAATTAAAGGGTTTATTGAGGAAGAAACGGTGTAGGGTCCTCCAAAAGGTACTGAGTTCAGATTATTATTGAAAAGAATGTAATAACAATTTGAACTAGTTTTGTACATTTAAGTGGGGGAGGGTAAAATTGAAAGGTCTCAAAAGAGATTCCATGGTTGTATATACATTCGTAATTAACCACTACATTAATTATGATTGAGTGGTGGTGGCTGACTAGTCTTAACCAATTATGGCTGACCAGGGTCCATTCCACTGCAACTGTTATGTCATTAACCAACAAGGATAAAGAGTAGTATAGTGATTTAGCGAAGTTCTCTATAGTCACGCATCAAACTTTCTGGCTCCAGTGGCGTGATGGTTACAGTGGTCTCTGGCACCTGCAACACTGGTTGTTGAGAGGAGCTAGCTTGCTGACCGCACCCAACAATCTTTTGGCAAGTCTCAATTAGGCACTGTCTGCATTTGGGGCATGAAGAGTGTGAACTTAGCCATTTGTCAATGCAGCGTACGTGGAATCCGTGGTTGCACTTTGGCAAAATGCGAACCTTGTCACCACTTGTGAACTCTGACAAGCATATCACACACTCTGAGTCCAGACTTGGCAGGTTCAGCTCAGCTGAGTAACTCACTGTGGTGAAAGTCTTGAGGGCTTTCTTCTTCACTCCTGTGTTGGCAACTCTTGCTGGAGGGTTGTTGGTTGCCACTGAGTCACGCACTACGAAATTGGAACACCTTAGTGCACACCTTATGATGGAGTTCAAACCTAAGGAGCAGATGAGTGCACAGAGTAGGACTGAGAGTACCATGACAACATTTGCATCGAAATTGCCATCTCCAAGGTATGTTTCTGTTGAATCGTGGCTGCTTGCTGGGGGCTTGGCTGATTGGTTGAGTGGAGAGGCAAGTAGCAACCTTCTTGAGTGGAAGTTCTCAAGGTTATGAAGGAGTGGTGAAGTAAAGAAAGTAGTAGCAGAATACATTTTAGTTGAAGGTTTTTGATGTGGTGTTAATGAGTTATTAGGGCTTCTTGGGGTTGGTTGGCTGAGGGACTTATATAGAGAGGGAAGTTCAAATGGTTAGATTTTGGTGTCTCCCTTTGATTGGAATGTGAAAGTATTATTTTTTGGGAGGATGGTTGGCTTGGTAATTAGAATATTCCTCAGGTTGAAGGGTTTTTTATCTTTGTCTTTAATTAGTTGTTGCCTCTTGTGGATAGATGTCTTAGCACAAGGATCCTCCACTCACTACAACAAACCTTTTGTGATTGGCTTTCCCAATCAAGATGGGCCCATTCAATTTCTATCCCACCTTACACGCAGCAGAGTTTGCCACGTGGCAGTTTAATTCCATATTGTGCATATGAGGAAGGAGGGTTTTCTGAAACAGAGCTCATTAACTAAGGATAGTTCACCTTTATTAAACTTAAGTTTGGAGTCTTTACTTTTTTATTTATTTGAAAAACAATCCCACAATGAGGCTTTTTTATGTTTTCATATACTGTATAATGCTGTTCCCCAATGGACCCACCAGCACATGAAGGAATTGGGAAGCTTCCTGATGGAGATGAGTTCAAAATTGAAAAAAATTTCATGCTTTTGACTCCAAGGTTCATTTGTGTCCCATCTTTTGGGTCCCAACTAAAAAGGATGAGCTTCAAATGTTCATTTATGTCCCATCTTTTGGGCCCCAGAATAAAAAGGATGAGCCAATTGCTTTTATTTTATCCGTACTTGCCCAAAGGAAAGAGAGTTCAGGTGAAGAATCCTTAAGATCATCTTCTTTGCACCTTTCTTTTGATTGAGCCCCAATGCAAAACAACCCAGAGGTACTGTTGCAGTGCAACAAATTGAAGGTTCTAAACTTGAACATAAGAAAGGAAAGATTAATAAAGAGAAGGATGTAGAAAAGTTGATTCTTAGTTTTGTAACTCGATCCCATCAATTTCGATCAAAATGATGTAAATAGTTCTCTCTTGTTCTGTGGCATCCACAATTTTTACCACAGGAATGCTATTTCCCAACAATTACAATCACTAAACCACAAGTTGAAGTCAAGTCCAACCTGCGTGTGCATCATTCATCGTATGCTTTCAATATCTGCTATGCTAGTGATCTATCAGAATCAGATCATAAGATGTAATATGCAAAATGGTCCCGTGTGTTTTTGCGTTGGCACAAGAAACTTGTATTACAATCTTTACATCGTGTGCTAGTGGTTTAGATGTAGCAAGAAGTAGTGGATTCTGATAAAAGCAGCATCCTTAACGATATGAATTGATGAATTGATGAATTGATTGGGCAAATGTATAAGCCAAAACTGATCACAATCTGATTTTGTTTGTCTCTAACCAAACTTTTTGGCTTAAAACCCACGTATTAAAGGCGAAAGTAAGTGCATTAAGGATGGGATATTATAAAAGTGGTGAAGAAAGGTATGCGGAGACAAGTCAAGGGGTAAGCTACTTTCTTCTACCTTTTTTTTTTTTTTTTTCTTTCTTATTTTATCTTTTTGTTACCTTTGCTTGGTTTGGATAAAATATGACTCTAGATTCTCTGGTCATTAGTTGTACGGAAGTTAGTCATATGATAATGTTTATACAAATGCAAGGCAAGGTTCTTTACTAGAAACTAAAAGAAAAAATAATTATTTCTAAATGCATAAATAGATTTGAATGTCTCCTAACACATGTTAAATACTCTGATATTGAGTTTGAAGTAATTTTTGTATGGGATGATAGGAGTAACCTATTGATTGCATTTTGGCTTTTGGTGTGGTCGAAGTACCACTTACCTGGATGCAAATCTTAGTGGGTTGGAACTTGGATCTCACTACGTTCATCGGTTCTCTGGACCCACCTGAAGAATAAGATGAGATGTCATTTCAACGCCAAAACCATATCTTTTCACATGCCGTCACCCATTCACGACTCATTCAATTCTTTATTTTGTAGCATCTAAATGATAAACAAATGTCATACACGTGCTTTGTCATCAATTAAGATTAAGATTAGCATTAGGATATGATAAAATATATACATTTTTAAATTCCTTTATTCATTTTCATTTCTTCAAAGTTTTTATTTTTTACATTTATTCTTCTTCTTCTTATTCGCTCGTAGCATTTTTTAAAAATAGAGTGAAATAGACTCATTTATCATATTTAAAATAGATTACAACTGTGGATTATGCTTGCTAAGTTTTTTTCAATATATATGGAGATAATTAAAAAAATTATTAATTAGGAGGAAGATCGATGATTACAAGCATATAATTTAAATAAATAATATATTATTTTTGTTACACACTTATTTCTTCGGTTAAAATTAAACTTGAAATTATAGAAATTTCATGATTTTGTTAATAAATTTTAAAAATATTAAATATTTTAAATTTTTAATCAACTTCTACGTGGTTATACGAATTATTGAAATAAATTAATATTTTTATCATTAATTATTTAAATAAACTTAATGGTACACGTGATAACTATGGACATACATCATTAAGTGTGAAGATTTTATAAGAATTATTGATACTATGGATATTTTTGAGATAGAATTTATGATTACGATTATTATCTTGGAATAAGGAAATAAACTTAGTTGAACAAGTTTTTTGTTAATATAACTCTTTTAATTATTGTGGTTTTAATAATGTATGTACTAATAAATTAGTTAATTAAAATCTTAAATAAATAAATAATTTTATTACGTATGATTTTCATAGAAATAAATAAATTCTATCTAAATTTAAATTTAAATTTACTAAATTTTCTTAAATTTTAGTTTAATACTTTCATTAATATTGTATTTAATTTTTTATTATAATACTTATATGTTGTAAATGATAGATGCTAACATAATTAAAATATATAATTTTGACATAATGATTTTGCACATTTATCTTATTAAAAAAACTATTTTTTAATATATATATATATATATATATATATATATATATATAAATTATAAAAAAATTAGAAAAAATATATTTTAAGATTTAAAATGAAAAATAAAATATTAATATTTTATCAATATTCTATTTTATATTTTAAATTTTCACTTTTATCTTATTAAAAATATATTTTTAATATGTAATAAAATATATTTTATTAATTATAAATATATTTATATTATAAAAATTGTCAATTATTATATAATTTATATTATAAATTTTTTAATAAAATTTTCAACATTATTGATAGAATTTAAATTTAATATGTTAAAGTTTATTTTGTCATATATTTTCCTTTTTCTCTTGAAAAAAATGATAATATAATTTTTTTCTTTGATATCTTTAAAACTTAGCTCTTTTTTTTTCACATCTTAACATTAAATTTGAACATCATAAAGCATAAAAATAAATGACTAATTATAGAAAATAATATACGTGATAATATATTATAATAGTGTAAGAAAATAATACAAAAATATGTTTACTTAAAGGAAAAATACGAAAATTAAAGAAAAACTTACAATTTTTACGTTTTTAAAATGAAAATATAAATGTTTAAAATTGAAGTAAAGAAAGTAAAAAAGTGGAAGAGAAAAAAATAAAAATAAAAGATGAGAGAGGAAAAAAAGATAAATAAAAAATTATATGAAAAAATAAAAATAATATTTATTAAATAACTATTGTTTTTTATAAGAAAAAAAGTATAATAATTTATTGTCTTTCGTCCAAAAAAATATGAATTTCATGTTTTCTATGATAATATTTTAAGTTAATTTTCACATCTAAAATATTACGTGTTGTAAAAACTGGACGTAAATACAAATAAATTTTATTCCCGAGGTATGCATAACACCGCCCTTAAGGATTTATGCGTGATATATTGTGCAAGTCTCCCAAGATACAACAGGAACTTCTCATAAATAAACCCAGAATAATAGTAGAATAAGAAGAAAACAGATAACAGAATATGAAAGAGGTGTATCTGAAAGAGTGTGAAATAGTATCTATTTATAGGTATAGATTGGACCCAAAACCTTAACCACCTACGTTCTCTGTAACATTTTCAGTAAAGTTCTTAGTAACGTTCTTAGTAAAGTTGTCTGTAACGTTATAAGTTTTGCAATAACCCTTATTTTACAATAGTCTCCCACATATTGTAAAACAAAAGAGATAAAGAAGAAAACTCTGGGTCTTATATAAAATGTAATGCATCAGAATAGGTATAACAATATATATGAATCAGTCTTAGAAAGAAAAACTTAACACACAATGTAGTTGGTGTAGCAAACTATATGAACCAAAACACTTAGTGTGTGTTAACGGTTTAAACAATCACAACACACCCCCCACAATTGTTGTTGTTATTGTTATGTTGCGCTTACTAGGCCATGTGCACACCCGATATTCATGAGTGCTCTATAAATCTTGCAAAGATCTCATACAAGCGGCTTCACTCGACACTCATATAGGTGACTTCATCAAGTGTATGTTGCAAATCATACACCACCTGTTAGGGATATGAAATCATTAAAAAATTTGTTTAGACTAAAATTCGTACACCACATAGAATTTTAATTATAAAGTTTAACCTCTCAATGATGCAGTATCTAGCACTTTCACATATACACCATAGGAATGAACATAATTGATTTTAATCAATTTTAGTGCTAGCAGAACTAATAAGTGACTTGTTTTTATCTATATGAACCTTATTCATGGGATCTCCAATCATAAAGGTTGAGTTACTATCGCCTGTTTGTTTGCAAGTTGTTTAAGTCTCGTTCTACTCGATGTTTCTAAAATCATATTTCTCGCTAAGGGTTTTATCAGAGGATCTACTAGATTCCGTTATGACTTCACATAATCAATGGAAAGTGTTTCATTCTTTAGCAGTTGTTTCACTAAATTATGTCTCAAATGTATATGTCTATTTTTTTCATTGTAGTTCTTATTTTTAGCTATAACTATTGCCTATTGACAATCACAGTGAATTGATACAGACGAGATCGGTTTCATTCCTAATGGAATGTTCGCTAAGAAGTTTTTCAACCACTCAGCTTCCCTACCAGCCATTTCGAGAGCAACAAATTCATATTCCACTGATGATCTTGCAATAATTGTTTGCCTAACTAATTTCCATGTAATCGCACCACCCCCAAGTGTGAATACATAGTCACTAATGAATTTTCTCTCATCTGAATCAGAGATCCAGTTAGCATCACTGTACCCTTCTAGTACAACGAAAAATCTACTATATTCAATGACATAATCCATTGAATCTCTTAAGTATCTCATAAGTCTTGCAAATGCATTCCAATGTTATTGATTAAGACATTGAGTGTACCTACTCAGTCTACCAACTGCATAAGCAATGTCAAGTCTAGAAAAGTTCATTAAATGTAGTAAGCTTCCAATTACCTGGGCATACTGAGGTTGAGAGATTGAGTCTCCTCTATTTTTCTTTAACTTAGAGTTAGCGTCATAAGGGTATTCACTGGTTTGACGTTATGATGCCCAAACTTCCTAATAAGTTTCTCAAAAATACTATCGTCCTTCCTTACCATTTTAACTCCTAAAATCACATTGGTTTTATCTATGTCTTTCATTTCAAATTTAGATCCCAGAAACAACTTAGTTCTAGAGACAATGTCAATGCATGTACCAAATATTATCATATCATTTACATATAAACATATAATGACACATTCACCACTCTCAAATTTAGAGTACACACATTTATCAACATCATTAGTTGAAAAGTCATTACAAAGTAGAACATTATTAAGTTTTTCATGCCACTTTTGGTGATTGTTTTAATCCATACAAAGATTTTAAAAGTTTTCACACTCTGTTCTCTTGACCAGGAATAACAAACCCTTCATGTTGAGTCAAATAAATTTTCTCCTTTAATTCACCATTCAAAAAGGTTGTCTTAACATCCATTTGGTGTATAACCATCTTATGTATAGCTGCTTGAGCTAACAAAACTCGAATAGAGGAAATCTTAGTCACAAGGGCAAAGATGTCAAAATAATCAATGTTGGATTTTTAAGTAAAACTCTTAGCTACTAATTTTGTCTTATATTTATCTATGGATCCATTAGAATTATACTTTTTTCTTAAAGATCCACTTGCAACCAATAGACTTTGTTCCTTTAGGGAAATCTATTAAAGTCCAAAGTATTATTTTTTTTTAATTGAATCAATTTCAGTCTTAATGACTTTATCCCAATGTATTGCATCAAGAGCCCTAATAGCCTCTAAAAAAATCATTGGATCATTTTTAACTAGATAAATGTAGAAATTATCTCCAAAGAAGGTTTCATTCATCTGTCTTTTATTTTTCCTCAAATCGTCATATATTTTATCACTATTAATATCTATAGATTGTTTAGGTATCTCAGTAGTCTTTAGAGGAAAAATATGTTCAAAGAACTCAACATTTTTTGTTTGCACTGTAGTATTATGCTCAATTACATCGTTTTTAAGGACAAGAAACTTATAGGCAGCACGATGTTCTATATAGCCTAAGAACATATAATCAAAAGTTTTAGAGCTTATTTTCCTTTTCTTAGGATTTGGTAACATTACCTTAACTAGGAACACCACACTCTTAGATATTTAAGATTAAGTTTATAATCTCTCCATAACTTGTAGAGAGTTTTATCAATTTTCTTATGTGGTATCCTATTTTGTAAAAAAACACGCTGTAATTAGAGCTTCAGAGTTGTAAATAAATTTTATTCCTGAGGTGTGTATAAACAATGTCCTTAAGGACTTATTTGCAGTGTATTGCACAAGTCCCCCATGATACAACAACAATTTCTCGAAAATTTGAAAGATCTCAGAAACTAATAAGAAACTCTTAAAGAAATAAATAAACACAGGATAATAATATAACAGGAAGAAAACAAATATGAAAGAGGTGTGTCTAAAAGAGTGTGAAGTGATTGGACCCAAAATCCTAACTACCTCCTCTTATCTCTCTGTAAGATTCTCATTAATGGAATATATAATTGACCGGAATATCCAACAAACCTCACTAAGACCTTGTAATTGTAATTGGTTTTCTCTTTTGCATTTTTACCTTTTTCATCAATTGATATAGAGTTTCTGCTACCCTCTTAGTAGCTTCATCAATAATGCATGACATTAATCATTATTATATTTCCATGGCTTATATTTAATTATGTTCAACATTGCTCAACTCCTTTGGTTAATGGTTGGATTGGGATATGACCAATCAACAAGTTTTAAGTCATTAAATCATCTTTGATGACTAATTTACCTTTTCTAGGCCTTATTCCAAGTTTACGCTACCTTCTAACTTCATTTATTTTAACAGTAACGGTTGATATAAATTTAAAAATGAACATAACAGTAAATATATTATGTAAAAGAATTTTTAGCTAAACTAAAATGACGAATACAATCACACTAAACCGTAATACTTCCATGCAACGTGGAAATAAAATTACAGTTACGACCATAAAGTTTCAGTTTTTCCAAAATTAGAAGATTCTACAGGGACAGAGAAGCAGGTTAGGGAAGAAAACAAGAAAGAAGGGTCAGAAATTCGCAGTGAGTAGGTGGGATTGAAGAGGAATGGAATGCGAAGGGAAATCGAGGGACAAATTGGTGAGGGTGGTGGGAGCGGGGAAGCTCTGTTATCTTATGAAATCGAAAATCGGAGAGGGTTCATACTCCTTAGTGTGGAGAGCGGAGCAGAGACAAACCGGTGATGACGTGGCGGTGAAGCAGGTCTTCCTCTCCAAACTCAACCCTCGTCTCAAGGCTTGTTTGGATTGCGAGATCAATTTCTTGTCCTCTGTTCACCACCCCAATATTATTCGCCTTCTTCACTTCTTCCAGGTTCTCTTTTCTTTTTCCTTTCATTTCACTTATTTCCCGTTTTATTTTCCTACCAGTTTTGTTATTTTTGATCTTCCACTGGAATACGTTGAAAAAATCATGACTTTATTTCTTGGGTAGTGATGTTGGTTTGCTCCTTTGTTGAAGCTTTTTGTGGTTCTTTCGTGGTTAGGATGATGGATGTGTTTACCTTGTCCTAGAGTTTTGTGCTGGAGGGAACCTAGCTTCTTATATTCAAAGGCATGGGAAAGTTCAACAACAGACGGCCAGAAAATTCATGCACCAGCTTGGTAACTTTTTGCAGTTTTGGTTGTGTTGAAATACTGCCTCTGATGGCAATTAACATGAACTGAATTTGTTTTGCAGGCTCTGGTCTCAAAGTATTACACTCTCACGGCATCATTCACAGAGACTTGAAACCGGAGGTAGGAATATTATGTTTGTTTTCAGAACATAAAATTGAGTTCAGTACACTTTTGAAAACGGAAATTGAGTAATTTATGTTACTAATTTAGTACAAAATGCCTCATAGAGGAATTTATGTGGAGAGGATTGTTTCAGATTAATTAATTTCGTCTCCAGGTAAATATATTAATACTGAGTGCAATCAGTTATTGTCTAATCTTTCACTGGAATAAATGAAAATGAGGGCAGATAAAGTTGTGTTTTGTTAGTTACCCATTTACTTTTCAAACTATACTATTTTTTTCTATCCAACATGGTTGGTTGTGAGGCATTGGTTACTAATTTCATACAAGAGCTTTTTGCTAAATAGCACTGATGTGTAAATACACTATTTAAAATGATGACAAAACTCAAAATGATTTCAGGTAAGTCTGTTAAGGGCCAACACTCTGGGAAAACTACAAAAAGAGGAAATTACAAACGTTTTCCCATAAATGGCTCCTAGTTGCATGGAAAACCATTTTCTTATTGATAATCAATCTGTAGTGACTATAATTTTGAGATCAGTAGCAAATTCTGTTTGCTTTGGTGCTATTGTTGAATCAGAACATTTTGCTATCAAGCCACGAGGGTGATGCAATGCTCAAGATAGCAGATTTTGGTCTCTCAAGGTAATTTGTTGGTTTGGGGGAATGAATAAGGAGAGGGAAAAAAAAAGTTATTTATTTTGTTTTCCATTTATTACACTCACTACATTGACAGTATTTCCATAAATGTGGAGGACCGTACGCCGAGGTGAATATGCTGAAACAGTTTGTGGTTCTCCATTGTACATGGCTCCAGAAGTTCTTCAGTTCCAGAGATATGATGACAAGGTATCAATTCTTCTTACTTTCAAGAGAAACTATGTTGGTTTGCTGAAATATACTTGATTAATATAGGCAGACATGTGGAGTGTTGGGGCCATTCTTTTTGAGCTTCTAAATGGTTACCCACCTTTTAATGGCAGGAATAATGTTCAGGTTACACAAAAACTTCGAACAACTAATATTAAAATATGTCTATCTGTGATCTCTGCTAATGCAAAATACTGATTTCAGGTGTTGAAAAACATCAGATCCTGCACCTGTCTTCCATTTTCCCAACTGATTCTTTCAGGATTAGATCCTGACTGTCTTGATATTTGTTCAAAGCTACTACACTTAAATCCAGGTTATGCACAGTATTTTATTTTACATGTTTTCCTATTCTCTCAAATTCCTGTGCATATGTATTTATTTCGAACCTTTTTCACTTTGTTGCAGTGGAGCGACTATCTATTGATGAATTTTATTGGCATAGTTTTCTGCAAAGAAAAATGATGGGAACATGACGGCAATTTCAGAATAGTATTCACGATCTTTCTCCAGCTGCTGTCTTCAAAGCTACCAAAATCATTAAGAGAAGTCAATAAGTGTCTTATGGGGACAATTTATCTTGTTTTTCTTGAATTGTTTGCAACTTGTAAATTATTTTTTAGTTCCAATACAATGTGCCTAGAGTTGTGCACGCCTATGTAAAGCCTTTTATTGTGATATTTTATCCTTCGATGCTGTATTATTAATATATAAACCCTTACGACCCAAACAACTGCGTCACTTCAAACCATCTCCAGCTATGAAAAATGATAAGTAGTCACAATAGATGAAGTTTAAGAATAATTTTAGTAACGGATGAAAATGTATATATTATAAATTATTAAAAGTTTATTTGTTTTAAATTTTAAATTTATAGAACATAAAAATAACTATTAAATAATTTTTAAAAATTAAAACATAAAAATAATTTTAGAAAATAATAAATAAGCAAGTCCTATGTCAAGGTATGATGAAATTCCGTTCACTTCGACGGACAAACCATTGATACAAACATCAAACAAAAATTCAAAAAATGTATCAATATCGCACTTATTAATACACTAAGTTAGGGTGTGATGAAATATTGATTTTAAATGATACACAAAATTACCTGATTTGTCTTTAATAGAAGTTTTCACTCAACGGTATAAAAAAGTCTAAAACGAAAGAGTTCAGATTTAGCCATTGGGGATTTCATTTGCTTTCAAAATCATAGGTCCACCACATATTCACACAGCACTTTGGGTGGGGCATGTGCATTGTCAGAGGCATTTGCTACTTCGGATTGATATAAAAGTAAAAACAATATGCGGAGAAAAGTAACTGGAAAGCTGCTGCACGCAAAAAAATCACAAAAATGTCAATCATACAAGGTGTAGACGTAAGAAGTTACGTTATTTGAAGTCACGGTACTTGTAGACAGATACACCTGCATAAATGGTATTGATGGTTCAGTATTCCTAAGTTTTCCACTTATTAATTAATATACACACTGGACAAGGCTCCTGTCTCGCACGACGATTCTGGAACCTGGTTGTCACACTATCAGCCATATTTCTTGTCTGACTTGTAATGCACATAATGGTGTGGAACCATGAGAAAGAGGGGGATATGTTTTCTCAATCTTCTAATGCGATACTTCTGTCCCATTTGTGGACGATGCAGTAAACATACATAGACAGTGCACTAAACTATATATTTGTTGATATACACCTATTTTTGTTCTGTACAGCCTCTGGAGAATCACAAGCCTGGACAATAATGACCAATCACAACATAAAGCATGAAATTCATTCCACGCTTGTGCCTGTCAAGTATTGCACTAAACAATGCAATGTAATGCAATGCAATGCAATACCGAATTATACAACTCAGCGGTCTTCCCTTCGAACAGCATTTGGATCTGATATCATGTCCATCATCATTTTCTCAGGTGAATCCTCCCAACTTGCAAAGGTCTTCAAGTCAACCTACAAAATATAATCATGACAAAACGTTATTGCTGTTCGATTTATCAAAGTTAATATTTGTAACAACTAATCGGACAAAATATAAGATACTTTTCTTCTTTGCTCAGTGAAAAGTTCTTCTCTCTTTTTGTAGGAGTTCTGCACTTCCTTCGCTACTTTACCACCAAGTCCCCAAACTTCAACTTCTGAAATCAGACCCTCAACAGGTAGGAAACCCTGAAACATCAGCAAAAACAACAGCTCATATATATGGAATTTTCGAGACAAGTGCAGTTTATTATTGGTCGATGACCATGATACTTTTAACCAAAACTCTCAAATGTTTCTGAAGTTTTAACACCAGCGAAATATTGAATGCATTGTCATGATATATAATGACAAAATATCACAGCATGCCAGTAAGGAAGAGTTTACAATTAGTTGTTTTATGATGATTTAAAAAAGGTTTCCATCAGAGATTGACAAAATATCACAGCATGCCAGTAAGGAAGAGTTCACATACAGAATCAGCAATTTTTTACGTATGCATTAATCAATACAAGGTACATGTTTTATATTCACACTGCCTGTATATTCATTCAGCAATAGAATTATACCTGATCCGGAAGGAGGGATCCACTGCGGTAAGTTTTGTCAATGGCATGATGGCGAACAGTCACTTTTGCAAAATCTTCATCTATAAATATTCTCTCATTTCCCAGAGCTCCTCCAAATGCAACACCAACTGGCTTTGGATGCGGTTGGTAAACTTTAGCAGTAGGATGCAAGTGGCTATAAACAAAATTTTTTTCCTTACCTGTCAATAGTAACATACACAATTGGTTTCATGGATGACAAAATCCAATCAAATTCCCACAAGAGAGGAAAAGGAAAAGGAATGTTGTAACGCCTAATACCTACCAACAGGCGGAAACACATGAAACACTGGGCCAATAGAATATAAACATCCAGTGTTTCCATAGAAGGTATCTTTAGTTTCAAAAGCTTGATCAGTTAGAGCACCTATAACCCATTTCCTATCAACAGAATTTCCTTCATGAGGTTCTCCTGAACTTGCAGATATCAAAACTAACAAAGGACCTTTGTAACCTTCAATACGGGACCAAAATCTGCCAAGGCCTCTTCCATGAGTGGCTGACCTATAACAGAATAGATGTTTGATGTCATTTTCATTTCTAACAGGTTCAAACGAAATAATGATGAATGTTGATGCGCAAGCAACATACCTACTCTATGTCAATAGACAAAAAGGGTAGGAAAGCATCATAACAGATGACCTAGAAACTTGTTCCCTCATTTAAACTAAAAAAGAAAAAAAAAAATTGACAAGTGTCCAAGACTATTAAAGCACACTAGGATTGAGGGTCAGTGATGCAAACCTATAAACAAGGTTATCATCCATTCCACCTTCATTGCTTATAAATGCTCTAGAAATCTCTTCACTTACTGTACTTCTCTGGGTGATAGAAATTGCCCATGCCCTTCCTTGGGTCAAAAGATAATCATGTGCAGCTATTGATGAAATATCTCCAGCACGGGAGGAATTAGAGGAAGCCAATTCAACCTGCCATTCAGTCAAAGAATAGTTGATCATACAACATCTAAAAACCATATGCAGCATATTTTCTCCGATTAATGATTGAGAATGCTTTCCCCACTTGTTTCAGTTGATAATATAATAAGGATTATAGATTGAACTAAAAACTAATTGGAAATGACAAAGAAGTCTATATAATAACAATAAAAATGTAAAATAATTTGACAAGTACATTGTTCTTCTCCGCAGATGATAAATTAATAATAGGTATACTAGAGACAATAAACCTAAGAATTTTCAGCATTCAGACAGTAAAACAATGTCTTTATAATTCTTTAGGACACTGTATTAGTAATTCATCAACTAATAACAGAACTGAACTGACCAAACACAAATGACAAATCAATTAGAATTGAACATAATAACTTCCAGTAGTATGTGGAACTTTCGCCATATCAGAGATACCAGCAGTGCAGTTAAAAAAATACTTAATTTTGTTAAATTATTCAATTGCATTACATTTGTGTTTTATTTTTTAAAGAAAAAAACAGAATGAAAAATTACTCAGCAACCCAATACACGGAAATAAAAAGTTGAAATATTCCTTAATAGAAACAGTATGTAACAAACCTCTGTTTTGTTCACAATGACAAATTTCACTCAGTTTTCAATTACACAAACAAAATACTTGAATTTTTGAAAAATACAAACACGGATACCAAAAGGCCATTGGTTGTCTACAAGATAGCACGAAGTTTAAGGTTGAAAGGACTTTAAAACAATTATCATGACCCACTAACAGCAATCAACAAGGAGAACTAGAAGAGGCTTGTCACTAACATCCAAATGAATGTTGATGCAAATATTATTGATCAATTCTAGTATGCCTGCCTTGCAAGCTGATTGACCATAAAGTAAAACAAAACAAAAAAATTCATTAAACGAAGGAATCTTCAAATTCTAATCATAAAGGGGAAAGACCCAACCATAGATTAAAGGGGTGAATGTAGTATGTTTGAAAAACACCTCTGAAAAATTTTCAGATCACAGTAATTTAATCACGAAATTAAAAATAAACAAGAGCTAGAACTGGTAACGTTAAATCTCACAAGCAACCGAACGTTATTATAAATGACATTTAAACTAAGAATGGAATCAACCAAGAGTTGAAGATACTAATGATGTCTCATGGAGTAAAGAAATCAATAAAACTTAACCTACGATGATCACTGAAGCCATTGAGTATAAACACACAATTTACCCCATCAATTCCCGCCATTTGCAGTCTAGCATGAAAATACAGTCTCAAGCAATCGGCGAGGCACGGGACGGTACTCATAACCCACGTTACGAATTTCCCCGCAGGAAGCTGAACCTCCAAACTAGAGATATCACAGTCCCACACATCCAAACCTTCAACTTGACCACACGATGTGATCACCGACAACACCAAATGATTCAGATCCGGTAGTCTTAGATTCCTTCCCCCCTTCAAGTTTCTAGAACTCCATGTCATAGCCCAACACAGGGCAAGAAGCAAAAACACGTCATTAGGAAGAAAGTGGCCGTTAATCTTACAATCAGCATCCCCTGATTCAAACTCCAAATGCACAGGTACATTAGCACATTTTGAGATTGCAACAAACACTCTCAAAAGCATGTTTAGAGAAACCGACGCGGACACCCTCGCACAGCACTTGTTGTAACCCTCAACAAATTCAACCCAGTTTATTATACCCCCTTTATCTGGCACGAAAAATTGATCCACTAGGGTTGAGCCTAAGTGAGCCAACATCACCGTCAACGAATCTGGCACGTTACTTCCTTCGCCAGCAAAACTAAAGCGTTGCTGAACACAGCGAGCATACACGTCATCAATTAAAAAAGAAAAAAAAAAAAAAAAAACTATGATCGAGAATGAGAAAGTTGTTAACCATTTCGAGTAGTACCTGTAGACTTTCTAACGGAACGGCGTTGGTTTGCGGATCGGCGAGCTTGGAGAAAGCTTTCTGAAGCATTGGAAGAGCTCCGGTGGAGGATGCGACGGCCTCCGCCTCTTCCTTTTCCGCCGAAACCCTCGGCTCCGATGAAGTGGACGCTCCCATCAATGGCGGCGCGTGGCAAGGATCGGATTGAGTTTCTATGATGTTCTGATAGTTTCTGTCAAAATAATTGGAAAGGTTAATCTCTAGATTTAAGTAGCATGGGTTACGATTAGTGTTGATAATTTTTAATTAGTTCTATTATTAACTTAATCCTTATGCTTGTCTTTACCTTGCACTTTTCACTTTTTGCCTTCTTAATAAATAAAATGTGATTTTTTACAACGTAATCCATTCTCAAATGTTTTTGGGATGTCTTGAAATACATAGAATTATTTATTTTATTATATCATAAATATCTCGAAGCACCCTCCATGTTAATTGAAATAAATTAGTAATGAGATATTAAAAAAAATTTAAATGATTCCGTTATTATTAGTTTTATTATTATTAATTATTAATATTATCAAATTAACATTTTAGAAATTCGTTTCTATATATTTTAACTATAAGTTTAATAATTTATCCAAAAGATTATAAAAATATTTTTTATTTAATATTTAATTAATATATATATATATATAGCAGTATAATATTTTATTTTTCAAACCAAAGTTTCTAGTTATTAAAAATGTAAAATATTGTAATTATGTAAATTCATTTTATGTATATTATCTCTTTTTTATTATTAATTTTTTCATTATCCATGAATATTTATTTTCATTTATTTTTATCTTAATATTTTGCTTGGTCATAAAGTATTTAAGAAGAGATATTAAAAATTCTCTATTGACCAACACTATAGAGTAAAATGAATAATACAACTGTTTTTTCTCATTTTTGTAACTTCTTTTGAGTTAAATAATGGATATAAGAGTTATTCATTACAACTAAGTTGGATTAATATTAAATATATCATCATAATCCCAACAGATTATTCTTAGTATTTCCAGTAAAAATATTGTGTTGTCTGAACTCTTGTATTAACAAACTTTGAAAGAATATTAGCTCGATCATTTTGCTCTTGCAATATATGCTTTATTTTGAATTCAAAATTTGTTGTCTAAACTTTGACTATTTGATAATACTTTTGAATAGAAGTTTCTTTAGTTTGAAATTCTCTACTTATTTATCCTGTTATGAGAATGAAATCACTTTCACAATGAATATTTTTTACCTCAATTTCTTTGGCTAACCTTAATCCAACAATTAAGGCTTCATACTTAACTTGATTATTAGAAACTTTAAATTTAAAATGTAAAGCTTGCTCAAGAATAAAATCATTTGGGCTTTCTAAAATAATCTTTGCTCCACTTTTTCTCTTATTTGAGGAATCATCAACGTATAAAATCCACCAACTAGGTTTTTCCTAGAAGAAAGTTCCACTGGGAAGTCGACTAAAAATTGTGTCTTCATTGGTTCTTAATTTTCATAAGATATATCAAATTCGGATAATTCTACTATCCATGTTGTCATACTTCCTGCTAATTTTGATCTTTGTAATATTTGTTTATAGAATAATTGGTTTTGACAATTATTAGATAGCTTTGGAAATAATGTCTTAATCTCTTAGCTGAATTTATTAAGGCCAAAATTAATTTCTTTATGGTAGAATACTTGGTTTCAACTGATTGTAAAATCCTACGGTGAAATATATAAGATAATTGTTTCGACATTTACTAATATCGAGCTTATGACTAAATCTAAAGCTGATAACTATATGAAAAAATGGGTTCTTAAGGTAAGACTCGATAAAATTGGTAAGGAAGTTATATTAACTTTAATTTCTCGAAATATATCACTATATTCATCATTTCATTTGAATTTTTTACTGCCTTTAACAATTTTAAAAATGGTCATGCTATGTCAGCCAAATTAGGAATAAATGGTGCTAGTGAGACTAGTTTTCTATTCAGTTATTGTACCTCTTTAATATTTTTAGGATTTTGCATATTTAAAATGGTTTCACATTTATTAACGTGTGTCTTTATTCCTCTTTGGGTTATCATAAATCCAAGGAATTTTCCTCCTCCTACTCCAAACACACATTTTTCACGATATAATCTCATACTATGCTTCCTAACTTCGACAAAAACCTTTTGTAAATGTTGTGGATGATCAATGACTTCCTTAGATTGAATAATCATATCATCTACATAAACCTCTATGATACCTCTTATTAGGTTTTTAAATACTTTATCCATCAATCTTTAATAACTTGCACTAATATTTTTTAATTCAAAGGGCATAACTTTGTAACAAAAATTAACTCATGTAATAAAAGTTTTTTTCTTTTCATTTGGTGGATACATTAGTATTTGATTATAGTAAGCATTTAAAAGTTAAGAATTTCATATCACGAGGTATTGTCAACTAATCAATTTATATTCGACAATGGATAGGAATATTTAAGACATGTTTTATTCAAGTTGGTATAATTGACACACATTCGCCGTTTTCCATTGATTTTTTTAATTAATACTATGTTGACTAACCAAGTTGTGTAAGTTATTTTTCTAAATAATTTTTCTCTTTCCCGTTGCACAACTTATCGTCTTTCTTCACCTAGTTTTCATTTTCTTTGAGTAATAGGTTTTGCATTCGGTAATCAAAGTTTGATTTATCACTTCTAGTTTCCTGTCGAGGATCTACTTCCATCATTATGTTGAACTTCTCATCATTTTTTCTCTACATCTCCTCTAAATGAACTTTTAAATTGTTGATAATGTCTTCGATACTCATGATGGTAATGATAAATTTGTCTAGTTTGTGGTTTAGTATATATTTCACTGAGTCCCATGGTGAGTGCCAAAATATTCTTGTAAAAAAGGGATTACAAATAAATTGACAAATAAGTAAATCGTCAGCTCGAACTTAGTTGACTTTAACCAAGAACAACTCAGATTATGTGATTACAAACAACTTGAATTATCCGATCTTATCACAAACAAGTATTCAACCAAGAGATGAATTGTGACTTCTTCCACGTGCAAAGACACACCGATGATTAAGTTAATAACAAGTATATGTCTTTTTCTATCAAGGTAACATGCTACTGCATTTTTATTTACTTTTTTTTTTCTTCCATTATTCCTTAACTCCCACAAGGTTTGATCATATAGAATTTGACCCATTTCATCATTGAGTGAAAATTAAATCAATTTTTGGATCAAAAGTACTATGTTATCCTCGTTTTTTTTTCTCTTTCTCTATCCCTATAATATATAAATTTCTAAGTTGGCCTTACGGGTCAAGTAAGTAAAAAAATCTAATGACCTAGTCTGACCTATATTTTAAAACGGATCAAAATTTTTTACCTAGTCTCGGCCTTATATTAGGTCAATGGGGCTAACAAACCATTTTTGGCCTAATTATAAATAATGATATAATTTTTTTTAATTTTGTTTGAAAAAAAAATATATCATTCATTTGCTTATTTTAGATTAACTCATAATTTATTCAGGTAAAATAAAATTGAATGTATAAAATCATAAAAATAAGTTGTTATAGTTATGTAGCCTTAAGGAATTATAGTTGTACATATATCATAAGTCAAACCTATCATACCAGAAAAATTAGATAATACATCTTTTAGTTTTTTATTTTCAATTAAACAGACGTTATAAACATACGTAATTGAAGTGTTTCTAGTTATTTGTTTAAAATATCCTACAAGAAATATTAGATAACACATTATAAATCTCTGAAATTGTAATTGAAGTGTTTATAGTAATTGATTTAAAATAAGGATTTAAAACTTTATTTACCTCCAAACTCTCTTGTACTCAACATAGTTAAATTAAAGATCATGTTTAATAATGCATCTAGCAAGTACATATCGGTAAATTTTAGAGTCAAATTTTCATTAATTTAACAAACTAGCCTTATTATCCAACATAACTTCTACATCATGATACTTTGAAAATACACTATATTAATAACATATTATCTTAAATTATTGGTCATTAAAAACAAATGTGACGACAACAATAGAGAGGAAACAATAGAGATGAAGAAGATGACAAAAAAAATGAAGATTATATTTAGAGTTTATTATTTTTTCTAATATATATATATATATATATATAACAAAATATATATATCAAATTAATTTATTATACTTATATTTTCTAATAAAATAATATTACTTTTATTTTATTGATAAATTAATAATTATTTTATAAAACGAGTTAGTCCATAAGTCTAAGGATTAGCCTGACCTAAGTCCATTTAGGTCTGACTTAAGTAGATCAAGCCAAAATTTGTCTAATTCTATTTAGATCATAAATTGTTTAGCTCTGTACGACCTATTTTTTTTGTCTTTCGGGCTGACCCATCGGACTAAACCTATTTTGACACCCCTACTTCTTATAGTATACATTTTAGGTAATAAAGATAACTATTTAATGATAATAATTTGTTTGTAGTGCGGTATTAACCATTTATTAATACATTATCTTATTAATACCTTTAAAGAGACATTAATTGGAGAGAATATTTTAATCATTGAATCTGGATAGTACAACTATTAATCATTATTTAATCACATTTATGTATAAATATAATCAAGGGCATGTGGATATAAATTTTTATTTACAAAATGAAATTAATAATTAAAATAATCTTTTAAATATAAAATGTCAATTTCGAGACACCCTTGCATTAAATGTCAATATTGTCTAGCTAAAGTATAGTATAAAGAAAGAGAAGAAAAATCAAGATGACTAAAATAAAGTGATTTCTCGATATGTTGTCAAAAAGGAGAAGTACAAATCCTATTATTGAAAAAGCCTCCACATTTATTTACAAGTTTACAACCTTCTCAAGATAGTAGAAGCAAGCATATGTAGTTAATATTAGATACAATAATATGTTATCATTCATTTGTAATGGATAAAATTATCATCACATTGGATGTTTGTTGCCAAGGAATGGAGACATTCCAAAGTTTTCACTTTATATTTATGATACTCATAATGAAATAACAAATAGAATAACTACTTTGGATAAGTGTTACTATAGTTTTTTTATTAATAAATATGTGATAATTTCCATTAATCTTATTTATTTATATCTTTTCCTATATGTCAAATATTCTTGCTCAATATGATCGATAAATTCAATATTCTTACTCAATCTCTTAGAAGAGTTAGATATTCCTTACAACACGACCCAAGATCAAATTTTAGTTTGTGATTGTTTCAACATCGGTACAAGAATTCTAGAATTTACAACTCACCTTCACCTGATGAGGTAGCAACATTGATAATTGGTGATAACATGGATATAAGAAGAGACATTATTGTTGTCAATATTACATGAAGCACATACTACATTTATTCCCTTATAATATCCATGGATGTTTCATATGGAAAGGACGATTATCAAGAGGATATTCCAATATTAATAGAGACTCACAATCATAATAAGAACCGGAAAATAATTGGTAGTTATTTAAGAGAATTTATTATATTTAGAATTTAAGAAATTTATACATGCAGGTTATTTTAACAATTTTTTATTGATTGTTATATTATGATTGAAGATCAAATATTATCTTTGTTAAGAGCAAATAAAAAATTAATACGTTGTGATATTTTAAATGAATTTCAAGAGGGGATTAATAGAAGAGAAATTGATACTTCTTTAACTGACAAACATATAGCTTTGTTGCTTCATTTATTAGTAGTATGAGATATATCTTCGATGATTGTCAAGATGATATGGAAATTTGCAAAAGATTTAGATATCTTGATTTGTTTATAACTATTAAATGTAACATAAAATGAGATGAAATACATAACTTTGTTACTTCAAAAGGTTTAACAACTTCATATAAACAGAATATTGTTTGTAGAGTTTTTGAAATGAAGCTAGATGAAATGATGAGAGATTTCAAGAAGAGAGATTTCTTTAGTAAAGTTAACTTTATGTAGGTTAGTAAAATTTTGTACCAATAAGCTTAGATGGATAAACATATTTTTGTTTACATTTTGTATCTCATTTTTTTTCTTAATGTTATTTAGGTATGTATATTGTAAATTTCAAAAAAGGGGACTTCCACGTGCTCATATATAATTGTGGTTAGATGGCAAAAATAAACTGCAAAGTGAAAATAACATTAATCGTGTCATTTATATTGAATTACCTCATGCAAATTTGAATCCAAAACTCTCAAATTGTGTTATGAGTTATATGATTTATCTTCCATGTGAAGATTCTACATTCAATGCACCTTGCATGAATGCAGGTAAATATTTCAAATATTATCATAATATATTTAGAGATTCAACCATCATTGATGAAGATGGTTATCCATGTTATAGGCATTGGGATAATGGTATATCTATTGAAAAAATGTATTGAAAGTAGATAAAAGAAGTGTTGTTCCATATAATCCACTTTTTTTTATGAGGTATCAAGTACATGTCAATATTGAATATTGCAATTGGTCAAATTCAATCAAGTATTTGTTCAAATATGTGAGTAAGGGTCCAAATAGAGCTACACTTAAAATCACTAGTACTTTTGATAATTCTACATATGCAACCATTTGTCGATGAAATAAAAAGATACTATGATATTATAAACATATCACCATCTGATGTTGTTTGGAGAATTTTTGGTTTTAACATTCATCATAGATGACCAATTATTCAAAGATTAACTTTTCATCTTCTATCTCAACAATCAATTCTTTCTAAAGATGATGATTTAATTGATGTTGTTTTGAATAATCAACAAGATCTTCCAATAATGTTTTTAGCTTGGCTTGAGGCTAATAAAATTTTTGTTAAGGGGAAGGATTTAACATATGTTAAATTTCCAAACAAATTTGTATGGATAACTTAAGAAAGAAGATGGAAACCAAGAAACCCAAGAGTATAATATTGACATACTTACTTATGTGCCTCCTACATCTTGTGAATTGTACTATATAAGAATTTGGTTGACAATTTAGAGAGGTTATATTAATCATGATAGCATAAAAACTATATATGGAATAACTTACAAAACTATCAAAGAGACTTACTATTAGTGGTTGAGCTTCTTGGGAGATAAAGGGGGTCATGCCCCCTCCCCAAAAATTTTGTAACTTACATTAGCATTTATGATTTTGGCCTCTAAACTTATTAATTATTTCCAAAGTTTTGTAACTTATATTAGCATTTATGATTTTGGTCTTCACAAACTTAATGATTATTAAATATACATGTTTGTATATTTACAAATTTAATCTCTCACCCTTTCATATTCTTTTATATTTTCATATTTATTTATTATTTATTAATAATATATAATTTGACCCTTTCATGATCAATGACCAAGATCCATTACTACTTATTATATTTTGCCACTTGTTGGCGAGATGATAAAGAGTTCATAGATGCAATTATTGAGGCTAGCCAACTTCTTCTAAAAATGAGTTGAGAAAATTATTTGTTACATTACTAGTGATGAACATAATGCCCAAACCAAATATTGTTTGGTATTCTACTTGAAAAATGTTTTCAGATGATATTTTATTTATATATATATATATATATATATATATATAAGTTTAATTTGCCAAGTATATAATTTAACCACTTATTGAATTTAATTATCCAAATTATGTATTTCTTATTGTATATTGTTTATGTAGGTCTTCAAATTGAAGAATCTGAATAATCTTTGTCTTAAGTAGAAAAATTGCTCATGTCAAATGGTAAGTCTTTAAATTATTACAATTATCTATCTGAACCTCAATATTTCGATTCATTCTTATTTCAAAATAGGTTTATCATTGATGAGTTGAATTATGATAGAGTATACATGTGTATCAAGAGATTTTAACAACATTGTTTTTTGAATAAGGAGGATTCTTCTTTTTATATGGTTTTGGTGGGATCGAGAAGACATTTTTTTTGGAAGACTTTGTTTATCGCTATGAGGTTTAAATGAATGATTGTTTTTAGTGTAATCTCAAGTGAAATTTCTTCTTTATTACTTCATGGAGGAAAAATGACACATTCTAGCTTGTGCATACCATTACTAATAAATGAGGAATCTAACTTGCAATATTATTCATGGAAGTCTTCCCGTTAAACTTTTGGTAGAAACCCAATTGATCATATGGGATAAAGTATCAATGATGAATAGGTTATACTTTGAAGTATTTGGTCGTTCTTTAAAAGATCTTATGAAATCCCAAAATGAAGAGAATAATGAAAAATTATTTGATGGTAAAGTTGTTGTTTGGGAGATAATTTTAAGCAAATTTCGTTTGTTGTAAAAAAAGGTTGAAGGTATGATGTTGTGAAGTGGTCCACTAATTATTCAAAATTATGAACAAATTACAAAGTTTTAAAGCTTACTTGAAAGTGTGAGATTAAATATTACAAAAAGTAAATGAAAATGTAAGAAATATAAAATAATTTGTTGATTGAATACTCAATATTAGAGATGAAGATATGAATTTGAATGAAAATGGTGAAGGTTTTATTGATATACCAAAATATCTTCTAATTTTTAATAATGAGACACATCTTGTGAATTTATTCTTTCTTTAAAACTGGTGAAGAAAAAATAACTAAAGTTTAGTCACTTCTTATGAATCAAATGAAAATTAAAGTAAATGAATAGTTTACACAAAAGTTTATAAATTATTTCAAATATTTAGGAGTTTTAAATCACCAACAAAAGTTGAAGGTTGGTGTGCATTTAAGGAATATTAATCTAGATAATAAACTTTGTAATTAAATAAGATTGTAAGTAAATTATTTGAAAAATAAAATATTATTTCAGTTAATTTAATTATTAAAAAAAGTATGGTTATTACTTAAAGAAAAAATATTATTAATAAATTTGGTTTCTTGAAACACATAATTTCCTTTAAAATTTTAAAGAAAACAATTTCTTTTATCATTATATTTTGCTATCACAATAAATAAGAATAAGATCAATAATTAAGTAAAATAATTTTTTTGTTAGTCTAGTATTTATATAAAATTAATTATATGTAATTATATCAAGAGTAAAAGAAAATAATTGAAAATTTTGATATTAGATAAAGATCAAAATGCATGCACATATAAAAAAATATATTATACAAAAAAATCTTAAAAATTCTTTATATAAAATATAAATATTCTTTTAATATAATTTTTGAAGAACATCATCATTTAAAAGTTATTCTTTGAATTTAATTATAAATTATATTATATTATTAGTAATATTTCAATAATTTTTATTTATACCTTTATTATCTTTTACATTATTAATAACACTACTATATATATTTGAAATAGTATTAATAAATGTATTAGTTCTCTTAACAATAATGTAACTATCAATATTAGAATATAAAATAGTTCAACAAAATTATTAAAAATTCTAATGACGAAAAACAAAAAACAATCTTTTCAACTTCTATGAAGACATACTAGAAATATAATATATTTTATAGAAGAAATCTCCACCAATTTAATAACTATTAAAAAATGCATAATAATATTATTGGCAAAAAAATTCATTAATCTTTATCTTGTAGTTACAGTTTTGTGAGATTTTTTTATATATATTTTTTACATATATAACATTAAAACAATAAATTGTGTGCAAGTGGAATAAATTAATAATAAAAACTTTTTAATCCCATGCAACAAATAAATTGCATCTTAAAATTGGTACTCTCTCGCATCATAAATTTTAGAAGAACCACGGCTTTCCTTGTACGCAACGCAAAGGCGTCGTTTTAAATTATGCCGCCGGCGAAGAAGGGAAAAGCAAAGGTGGAGCCTAGGGTAGCGCCGCCGCCGGAGAAATCTAACGATTTTCCGTCTTGTATTCGCTGTGTGCCTCCTTCCTCCGTCGCCGTAACCATCCACGCCAAACCTGGTTCCAAATCCGCATCCGTAACCGGTCTTTCTCTTTCTCAATTTCTGTCGCGTTTCTTTGACTTTAGTTAATGAATGCGATTTTGAATTTTTTTTTTCTCGATTAGATATTAGCGATGAAGCGGTGGGAGTGCAAATTGACGCACCTGCGAGGGACGGCGAAGCAAATGCGGCTCTTCTCGATTTCATCAGCTCTGTAAGTTATAATTTCTGATTGTAACATTTTCGTTTGAATTTTATTCTATTCATGAGGCGGTGATCAAAATAAGGTTTAATTGGACATATTTCGTGTCCAACAAAAATTGTCTTTGCATTTGAAACATTTTGTATTAATCTTTATCTATAATTTTTTTTTTTAATATCTTCATATGCCATTTTAATTTTTAGATAAAGATAAGTATAGAAACTAAAAATACGTGTTTTTAAGTATTAAGAGTAAAAAAATTCTTTTATTTAACTCCAAAGATATATGAATAATTAAACCTTAAAATAAATGGCAGGTTTTAGGTGTTAAACGAAGACAAGTCTCCATAGGCACAGGTTGTAAGTCGAGAGATAAGACTGTCATCGTGGAAGATGTAACTCAGCAATATGTTTTTGATGCTTTGGATAAAGCCTCGAAGCAGTAGCCATGAGAAAGATGATAACATGTTTTTGATTGATGAGGAGGCATCTTACTATTATAATTTATCTATTTAGAAGACTAATGTTTTGACAGTGTTTCAGTGGACAGCGTTGTATATTTTGGCTTCTGAATGAGTATTGCAGTGTATACTTTGACAACTTGATGTAGTGCATCTTATTAGATTTAATTCTTCTATAATTGATTCCAAATTTCGTAAATGTTAGCTTTATGCGTGTGTTTGAGTAGCACCACAAATGACCTGTTATAGGTCCTATCCTATGGTGTAGATTGTGGTGTAGGTGATAGTGAAGGTTTTGTTTGTGGGAAGGCTCAAGGGTTTCATCCCCTCATGATATAATAATAAAAAAATTGTTTCTTAAACTTAAAGAACTCATAAAAATTGTGTTAAAGTTGTTTTAAAGAGATGGAAGTAAGTTGAAAGGAATTAACTTCCATTTTTTATAATTGATATATAACAATGAAGAAGAATTTTATTTTGGGATCCTAGATGTAAATTACTGCTATCCTTTCCAAGTAAGATATTGGTTTCATTACTAGTCATGAAGTCATTTTTTTAATTAAAATGTTTTTATAACATTAATAATTCTAAATTTGATTAACTTCAGAAACAATTTTTTTAATCAATATGAAATGTTTTTCATATAGTTTACTTATTCACTATTATTACTCTCTTTTACATTAATCCAAAACCAATTGTAAAGAAAACTTGTACTCTTTATTTTATTTCTATTTATCTTTATCTATATATATATATATATATATATATATATATATATATATATATATATATATTATTTTGTCTATATTTCAACTACCAATCTAAACAAAACATACACGTCATTAAGCCAAGAAATGCGCATGAGAAAGTATAAAAAAATATTTGTTTCTACCTTTCTCGTTTCTTTTATTCTTATTTATATTTCTTTTCTCTCTATTTCATTTTCAATCCAAACAGAGGACAAATGTATTTAACGAGTATAAACTTCCTTGATTGATTTTCGTTTGGTTTATTATAACTAATTTTAATGAAATAAATTTTGAATTTGATTAATATATATTGAATTATTACATTTTTTATAAAAAAATAAATTCTCAACGATAAAATTAAGAAAACTTGATTTTCTAGAAATTTCTTGCGAAACGTTATTGTCATTTCGTGAGTAATGTACCCCTTGGAAGTTGCCTATATTAATGAGGAAAAGAGTGAGGGAGTTAAATTCTGGGGTTATGATATATATTGGGAACCTTTTTTTTCTAAATATTTATTTAATAACTTGTTTTTAGATTTTTATATTATTATTTATCTATTTTATTTTATTTTTTATTAATAAAAAATATTTTAGGGTTCTCTGTTAAAAACAATTAGGTATCAAAAATTTTGTTTCCCTAGATTCTGACATCTTTTGATTTCTAATTTTGCGCATGTAGCAATAACATATACATGGGCATAAAAAATGCATAGATGGTATTAGCCAACAAATATTATGGTGAAATAATTAGTAATTAGGATTAGTATAATGACAGGTGAATAATGATAGGAGAAGAGAGTGACGGAGGAGGTATTTGTAGGTGAGAGAAGGATAAAGCATAAATAGGGGTGGTATTAGAAATGAGTGTCTTGCAAAATTTAGCTGTTTTTAGTGAGAGAGAAAGAGAAAGAGATAGGTGTTTGTGTTTGAAGACAAAGTTGTGGCATGCGATTCATTGACACAATTTCACCCTATGCATTTGGGTTTCATTCTCTCTTCCCATCTATTTCTTTGAGTTTGGGTCCCATTCTCCCTCTGATGTCCTTTTCTCTCTCTAAATTCTATGGAATTCCTCCGGAGAGGCTAAGCCTAGAAGATCCTGTTCTAAGGTACAATGTATTAATTCCTTTATCTTATTGGCCTTAACTGACTCATATCTACAACATTTTGGTTTTTCAACTTCTTAACATGTCGGTTAAAAAATTATCATTAATAATTTTGATTCCAACTATTTGAAGCAGTATAGATGAGTTTGACAGAAGGCTTAGAGGAGGGTGCAAGCCTCCCAGAGCCTCCTGATCACAATATTGTTGAAATTGATCCTACTAATCGCTACATTAGGGTATGTAATGTAATTATGTGATTTTTTTTTTCTTCCTCCAAGAAAAACCTAACAATGGATTGAAGTGGTGTTTTTTTTTTTCATAACAGTATAAAGACGTTATCGGTCAAGGAGCTTTCAAAACTGTGTATCCTTTGTTTTAAGATCTTAACAATGTGTTTCTTTTTTTCTTTTTTACTTTGGTTTATAGTAGAACTTCCCTGGTAATTTAATTCTTTCACTTTAAGGTTTACTGTTTTTTTGTCTGAAATCGAAAGACATATTGACTGTTCAATTTAGAACATTATGTACGACATTTTCCATTTGGATCGGTCTAATTGTGCATGATTGGGTAGTTTACATAAGGTTCTAAGTTCAAACCTTGTTACCATTGTGTACACACATAAAAATAATTCCTTGAACTTGAGTTTTTTTGTTAAAAATTTTACTGTTAGTGGCAAATTTGTTTCAAAATATACATGTTTTTCCTTTATTTATAATTAATTAGTTACAAGGGATTTGATGAAATTAATGGACTTGAAGTTGCATGGAGCCAAATTCACATCGATGAGATACTACAATCACCTGGTGGCCCAGATAGGTTGCACTCAGAAGTGCATCTCTTGAAGTCACTACAGCACGAGAACATCTTAACTTTCTATAATTCTTGGGTTGATGACAAGCGTAGAACAATGAACTTGATTACTGAGTTATTCACCTCAGGGAACCTCAGACAGTGTGTCCATTATCCTTTATAAATGTTTTTTATTTGTTTTTTCTTCCTTTTTTTATGACATCAACCTTTTGGTTAGTGGATTTGATGTATGATTTAGGTACAGTAAGAAACACAGGAAGGTTGACCTGAAGGCTGTTAAAGGATGGGCAAGGCAAATTTTAAATGGTTTAAACTATCTTCATAGTCACAACCCACCTATTATGCATAGGGACCTGAAGTGCGACAATATATTTATCAATGGTCACCGAGGAGAAGTTAAAATTGGAGATCTAGGGTTGGCGACTATATTAAAACAAACTAATGCCAAAAGTGTAATTGGTATGTTCTTCTGTTTTGCTGCATTTTCTTTTTTGGCTAATTTTTTCTGTCCTTCATATAGTTAAAACATAATCAGCAATTTAATCATTTTCCCATCTTATAACAGTAATATAAAAATACGTCTTAAAGATTTCTTCTGACTTCTCTGTTTCATTTTTGTTTTTGATTTCTACACCAATTTTATTTACAAATATGTAATCCTAGTAGGAACCCCGGAGTTCATGGCACCAGAACTGTATGATGAACATTATAATGAATTAGTCGACATATATTCTTTTGGTATGTGCATGCTTGAGTTGGTTACGTCCGAATATCCTTACAGTGAATGCAGAAACTCAGCTCAAATATACAAGAAAGTTTCATCTGTGCGTATTCATATTGACCATGTACTTTTTCTTTAAGCTATTATTGGGATCCATGGTAATATATTATTTAACATTGCAGGGCATAAAGCCTGTTGCTCTTTCTAAACTCAAAAATGCAGAAGTAAAATCATTTATTGAGAAATGTCTTGTCCCAGCATCCCAAAGATTGTCAGCAAAAGAGCTTTTGATGGACCATTTTCTTAAAGTGACTAGTTCGTTGAAGAATCGTCGTCTTCCATTACCAGATATTGTTCTTCCTAAATATGGAGCCTTTGAAAATCGTTGTCTTATGTCAGAAGGTCCTGCTAGTACACGTATTAGATCCATTTCAATGGATCTTGGTGATGCCACTGAGCTACCATTAACCACTTTACTTTATAATTCTATTGATTCTGCTGATCCTATTGATGATGTTTTGCCTTCCCCATGTGTTGAGATACGAAGGTTAAAGGAAGGTGACATATTTTTTCTAAAAGGTGAACAAAATGATGAAAAGTCTGTATCATTAGTCCTCCGAATAGCTGATCAAAGTGGTTAGTATAACTTGCACTTGAATTTTACTATTAATGTTTTGAATTTATTGGTTGAAAGTTAGGTTTGTATGGAAAAAAATGCAGGGCGAGCGAGAAATATACATTTCATATTCTACATCAACAGTGATACTGCCATTTCAGTTTCAAGAGAAATGGTTGAACAACTTGAACTGGCTGAGCAGAATGTTAAATTCATAGCAGAGTTAATCGATCTATTGTTGACAACTTTACTTCCTGATTGGAAACCTTGTGTAGCAATTGATCATTTAGTTTCTTGTAATGGTAAATTAACTCATTCAAGTCAACAAAAAAACCCAGAGTTACCAAAATACACGAAAAGCTCAAAAGATTATATCCAAATTGTGCCTCATGATGTAGGTCTCCCAGCTTCACGTGGAAGATCAACAGATAAGGAATACAGTGACAATGTGATTGTTGACAAGGTTTTAACTCATGCAAACACTAAACTTCAAGGAGAGGCAAAGACAGATGACTTTTATTGTGAGACCTCACACACTACTGCAACATCTGACTTCAACTGTAAGCATGCATCTACTGCTTCGTTCATGTCTGCTAAATCAGGATTTACAGAGTTTGACTTGCACAAAGTTAATAGTCAAAGCTCACTTGCATCTGAATTTGAGGCTTCGTCTGATTATAATAGGAGTTTTCCACGTGTGGAAAGCTCTGGTACGATGAAAATCTTTAATTACCCTAATAGTGCTCCCCACTCGAATGAACCTGAGGATGAGTTGAGAATAGAGTTAGAGATGATTGAACACCAATATCAAGAAGCAATTAAAGATTTATCAAAAAGAAGATATCAGGCCATCCTTGAGACTAGGAGGAGGTTGTCACAAAAAATTGCAAGCTTAAAATAATCACTTTCATCTTTCTAATACGTAGTAATTACTGTTAGTGTGTCTTTATCAATATCCTTGTAAGTAACAATTGTTAGTAGTGCTATGGATGAAAAGGCTTCTCTTATCAGTCATTGTAGCAAGGAGTTTTCATTGAAAAAATCCATTCAAAACGATTTTTATAATGTCGTGTTAACCTTTGCTAGAATTGCATGATATGAAAGTAAATCTAGAAAGTATTTCAAACTAACCCAACCCAATTGTTGGTGAGGTTGAAACAACTTATTATTTACACATGTTACTTATTTGTTATCTACACAAATTTATTGAACCCTTTCACTAATCTCAAGCTTATGAAGTTAGAAAATTTACTTTGTTTATACTATACAAATAAAATACCTAATTAGTCATTGCAAGCAGCTAAGCCTAAAAAAACAACCATAATGTATACTATTTGTATCATGTGACAGGAAGTGAAACCATGGTTACATTATAATGGCAATATCACATATGCTTTGTGGTAATATAAAGAAAAATACCATATTGCATAAGAATTTTCCGTTTTTTGGAAATCTTATAATTGTTTTTATATGGTATGGAACGCTTAAATGCGTCTTTCATTTGAGAGTTAGTATATAAAGAAAGTAGTGTCCTTTTTATTTAACTTTTTTTTTTTGGGTTTAAAAGTTATATATAAGGAAAGTTGGGATTGTAAGTAAATAGAATTGATTTTTCTGCTTAAATGTTGCATTGCATTGGAATTAGTCTAATTGTGACTAATGAAAGTGAGTCATTGTAATCCTTTTTTTTTTAACCACCCCAATTCGATTAAATATTTTAGTAAAGTGAGACTTGAATAGGTTCACAGCCAAGAAATAAATAAGTAAAGGATACACATCATGATTAATTTCCTTTAAAGGACAAACGTGGGAAAAACATGTGTCATAGGTTTTAAGAGCAATGAGTACCAATTGCCATCAATTTTTGAATTACAGCTCCACTTATGGTCTCTAATCCAAGTATGTTGCTTAATTTAAGGATGTATCTAATACTCTAATTTCCTCAATAAAATTAAAGAGTTTTATTTAATTTTACATATTATAATTTGATATATTTTTAATTTAGTACATCTTAATTTAGAATATTTTAATACGATAAATTATATTTCAAGGAAAAAAAGTATTTTGATAAAGAGTTTTATTAACATTTTCTTTTATGATAGAATATTTTTTTTCATTGTATTTGAACATAAGGTAGTTTCATAAATAATAATAAAAAAGAACAACGATAACATATTTTTAGTACTGTGATCCAGTTACGTGTGTAGTAAAAAATTATGGTCTAGTCTAACTTATATTTTAAAATTGGTCAAAAATTTTAGTCTAATCTGATCTATATTAGGTTAACGGGTTAATTTTATTCTGATTATTTTTTTTTAATATTAACATATATATATATATATATATATATATATATATATATTCTAGTATTTATTATATCATTAATTTCATTTCTTTTTTTTAATTTCTATTTTCACCACTTTTTTCATCCATATACAATGTATACTGGTTATTATTCAAAAGCGAATGAGAAAATAAAGTTAAACTGTAAATATATCAGCTAATTATGTATAATATAAGTATAATTTTCAAACAAATAATATGTCATGAAAAGTATTTATTCCTAATATATAGTTAAACTAATGTATAAAACTATTAGTATTATAAATATTATATGAACACGTGTTGTACTGAAAATTAATATATAAAGTTAGATGTATGGGCCAGGCTTCATTTTTCCTGAATTGGAATTAAAAATATTTCATAGACATTTAGACATCACAAAGAGAGAAGAGAGGGTGACCTTAGTTGGAAGGGTACCTCTAGCTCGATATCATTCTTTCGATTACTATTTTTGTGTTTTGGCACACAGAATTGACCCTAAAAAGAAAGCTATGTAGTTTCTACAATAGTAAATAGTCAAGGGACTATGCTTTTGGAAATTAAAATTCAACAGTAAATAATTAATACAACCATGGAGGTGTGAAAATGTTAATTTTTTCAGTAGAACTAGATACATCTTAATTATAAAATATAGTTAGAGAATTAAAGTTGCGAATTTGATTTCTAATAAAATAATTTATATCAATTATCTAAACACGAATATTAAATAATCAAGTTCTTTTTTTTTTTAATTACAGAAACAATATTATGAAACCAATCTTTCATGGATTCAATAATCATGTGTATTTGGGGTTCGGATTCCATTATTTATCATTGAAAATTTATTTATTTTGTCCAAAAGCACAGAAATTAAAATGGAAGTCTAATGATGAAAATAACAGTGGAACAAATATAATGATGGAGAAAAAATTATCATATTTATGATTTTTGTTCCTCCAAATATCTTTTTCAAAGGAATCCAATGAAACTCCAATCAATGATCATTATCTTTGCAATGTATCTGCAAAACTGATAATACTTTCTCTCTAATTATAGCAAGTGTCTTCTACCAAAGAAGGATATATATATATATTCCAATGTGTAAATTTTTTTAAACAAAAATGTATGTGATGACAGGAATACTATCAAACAGTATTATATTATCAATCAATAACTTTCATATCTTTAAAATTATATAAGTGATGAAAAGTCCTGTGTATTAAATACTACACAGTATACCACTGGTGTGGAAGATACAAAACAATCCTTGTTGAAAGTTTTAGATGAATTATTGAAGTGAATAATACACAAGTAATTGATGTGTACAATCGCCTAAAAGATCTAAAATAATGTGTATACACGCAACCAACACTGAGATCACCATACCCCGAATTCAGTGGCATCAGATTCTTGCTTTGCTTGCATAAAGGTAAATTCAACGTAGTAGGTATGTAGTGTCAGTCTAGTTCCAACCACTATGGTGTAAAAAGGATTATCACTTCTATGAATAAGCTTCAAATTAATTACGCTTTGCATTGCACAAAAATTGATTTGTTTGAAGAACACCCTTACAGAATACTGATCTAGAGGAATAGTTATAGAAGAAGTACACCAAATGCATGCATGTGCAGTAATATGTATACTGAGGTATAAGTACTGGAAATGTTCTTATCATCATATACAACAGAACAACAACGTTGGTGCGGAATTTCTGCAGCTTTTGATCGTTCATCATTGTCTATGTATAATAACTGATTTACACTCCAAAAGTAGCTCCCAAAAATAAAGAGATTAAGCATCCACTATCTCCTTTAAATAGTTTCATCTAATAGATCATACATACCTATTATGGCATTACATCCCCAGAATCAAAATAACATGTCATCAAACTCCCCCATGCCCCAATGTACATTAGCTTTTGCTTCTTCAAGAGAGAATTGAAATAAAAATCCAAAAGTCACCTTTGAGCAAAGCTAGTCTTTAGGGTGATCTCCAACTTTGTAGGCCAATGTCATTGTGCTTCTTTGAAGGAGAGGAGTATGGTATGGGCATCCTTTTGGGCAAGAACCCAAGAAAGTGACCTGTACTGTGCTGAGACTTTGGCTTAAATTTGAAGACGGTGGTGGTTCTTGAGCCATGACCGTGCTCCAATGTGGAGAGAAACAAGATCAGCAAGAGCAGTAGAATTTGATGTCTCCTACTACGTAGAACCATTGTGTATACTCACGAGATGGTGAAGATTGAAGAGTGAAGATGAAGTTGGGGTGTCTATATTGTGAGGAAAATGAGGTGGAAATGGAACGAAACATGGGCAATTAAATGCAAACTTGTGACTGTCAGAGTTGAAGGGGTTGGTTTGGTTTGAGAGTTCATGTGGGGTGTAATTTGACAGAGAGAAAAAAGCAGCGAGGAAAGAATAAAGAGATTGAGTCAAAAGAATTCGGATGCTTCTTCAAATGTTGGAAGCAGAAAGTCGGAAAGCCTGAGGGAAGCTTTTAGTGACGGGCCCTTACGGGGATAAAGTGATTATTATAATGAAAAGAAAGAAAAAAGATTATGGAAAATAATTCATATTTCAAAAGGAAAAGAAGTATCGAATACCAATGAAAAGAAAGCAAAGTAAAGGGTGTATTATGATATTACTATCACATTATGTCATCTATTTTGTGGTTAGGTGAATCTTTTGGACCTACTTCGTATTAATGGCCCGGCTAAGTAACTAGGAACAGTGTTAGACCCTTTGCAATACAGGAAAAACTTGTCCATACACCAATGATAGTACCTTTTGTATTTCAACTTCTCTCTCTCTCTTTCTCTATCTCAACCCATTCCCCTAATTAAAGGGGCTACTGGCTACTGCATTGCCTTGTCAATGTGCACCTACAGTAACTAAACTACTACCAACTTCACGTACATTCTGACCTCAACCTTTCTCCGTTGGTTCCTATTCATTCAACTAGATTTTATTTTTCACATTTGTTACTGACCAAGTTCACTCTTTCATATATTACTTCAACAAAATAGCTTTATCAGAATATTTTAACTTCACGAATGGCATTCTGCGATTATATCCTATACCAAAGGACTGTGTAGAAGTCTGTTTATACAGTTTTTAAACTTGTCCTGAAAACTAGATTAAAGCTATAGGTTATGACCTCATCCAGTTGAATCAGACTCTGGAAGAATTGGTTTAGAAACTGATAAACCAGTGAAAAACCGATGAATCACCGGTTGGTAAAAGTATACGTAACTTGTACAACAAGTCTCACAATGGTTTAATTAGTATTTTTTATATTATTTGAGAGCATTGTCTAATTTGTTAATATCTGTTTGGTTACAGTTTAATTATTGAATCTTAAGAAAGTGTCTTATTTGAGTTAATGACATTTTTGAAATATTGTATTTTTGGACTCCCAGAGTATTATTTCTCTTCCAACATACATTATCTGAAGTGTGAACTTGAGGTTGGAGTGATTTAAGAAATACTAAAAAGGACAAGAAAAGTGGATTGTCTAACTTTACTCCCAAGCGGATAATAATAAATGCAATGTCTAACTTTGAGGTGGACCATATCTAAGCTCAGCGCTTCATTAAAAAAAAGTAGTGTGCAGTGTCTGTGCTACTAGTGCTAGTGCTTGTCAATGCCTTCCCTCTCAGACCCTTCTACGATGATGGCCATGCTTTGGGGCACACTGCCTCAATATTCTCTGTCTGTCCCCAGCAACAAATGCAAATGCCAAAGCATTTTCTTTCTCCGCTTTTTTTATACATTTGGGGGGTCTTCCCTTTATTCTAAGTTCACCTACAAATAACAAAAGTACGTGCTTCAATCTGTCTAATTAACAGCGTGTTTGAATCTACCATGAAATAATAATGCATTCATTTTAATTAAATCAACTGACTTAGAATATTTTCTGCTGATAAAACAAACACAGAGTTTTTGACATAGATCAAATACAGTTGATAGCAAAGTAACATTTGATTAGTTGACATGAAATACTGATATAATATGAAACACAAAGAAATATGATACATATTTATAGCAGTAATCTAATGCATATATACTAGTAAGTGTTATATATATAACATCTAATATAGATGTGTCTGACTCTGACACATTCAACACACACGATTAATCACTGTATAAGTGTCTCTATTTCTTAGTTGAGCAGTCACCGTTTATGGCACATGACTCTGCCACATTTGACAATATTATCATTTCTTCACCACACCAGCTTTCTTCTCAAGACATAGAAGGAGTTGGAAATTTAATTGCCATGACCAAATTGAAGGTGTGGCCTACAAGGAAGCAGTTGGGGTTCCATATATACTGCGATGTTACTGAATTGACCCTTAGACCCAATCCAGCAATCATGGTACCAAATAACAAACAGAAGTTACTTTGAGGGTCCTACAAGAAAGTTGAAAAGGAGCATTCAAATGGAACAAGGACGATCGAGGGGAAGTATGCACGGTTGCATCCCTGGACTTGTATTTAAGTAGCCATACATCAACAGAAAAGGTCTCCTCCAAGTCCCACTGATTCCAGGCCATTCGAAGACTAGACCCTACTCATTGCATTGCAATCGCAAAGCTACGAAAAATATAATATGTTTGATCACACTTTCCCTTTCCTTTAGCTTCACGATTCATGAAACAGTTTATTTTCAAGGAAAAAGTTTCAGACTCTCATCTACCCTTGACAACGGAACTATGCCAAAGGGTCAAGGTGGCTAAGAACATCAAGGCACAGTGAGGAATTTAAGATAACCATACCAGCAGAAATCTATGGTGACTGATGAACTGTATGATTGTGACTTGATTAAATTTCTCTCCCCATCACCATTCATTTGTGTAGTACTTGGCTTTAGTTTGTTAAGATCAAATTTCAATCCCATATATGACCTGTGATTTGGGATGTGGGACGCTTGAATCTTTAATCTTTAATCTTTAATCAGATTTTATGGGGATAGGTTTGTGGGTGCAAAACATATTATATGAGTTGTGCTTCTTCTTGTAGGTAGTTTTGTGGGATGAAATTAAGTGGAAGCAACATGTACCCTAAGATAATACATAAAATATGTGCTAGCAATTTTGGAATTTTAACTCTTTTTTTGGGAATTTCAAAGTGACCCGAGTCTGTCTTAAATTAGTAAATTGGATTCGTAATTTTAAATCGTTAAATTGTTCTAATTTGTCCACTAATATATCAATTCGATGGTCCAATTGCGAAAATTAAAGATAAGAAGAGATAAATTAATTCAATGATTTTTTTTAAGACATATATATATATATATATATATATATATATAAACAAAAATAAAATTGATTATAATTAAAAAATTATATTTTATTATGTTATGTTATAATATTAAAATATATAAATATAGTAAAATATTATAATTTAAATTATATGTATTAAAAAATTAAAAATAAAGATAAGAAAATATTTATATAATTAAATTTGTGATTTTTAAAAAATATATAAAACTTTTTATATAAAAAAAATGGTGGACAAAATCTACATTCCGTAGATCAATTATACCATTTCTTTTAGAGGTTAAACACAAAACGAAATTAATTGTCCTTCTAATTTTTAAATTTTAATTGTAAATATGATAACATGATAATACTAATTAGTTTATATTTTTTATTAGTTTTTCAAAAAGTTTCTTCACATGTATAAAACAAAAGTATCATATTAACGTATAAATTGTGGTCCATGTGTTTATAAAATTTAAATAATTTTATAACAAATTAAATTTATATGCATATTATAAGATTAAAATATCAAAATAATTTTATGACGACTAAACTAAAATATCTAAATATGTGAAATATATTTAAATTAAATTAAAATAAGAAAAAAAGAGCATATTATAGAATTTTACTTTGTCCCTACAATCATAACTTTCCCCTTTGATTATCCGAGTCAAAAAATATATTTATGAATTCCTGTTTGCAACGACGGATTTTATTGGGATATAGGTCATCATTCACTCAAAATTTTGTAATTTAAATCAGGATTTATAATTATTAAATATATTTATTTATATATTTATAAATTTAATATTTTATTTTTATATTTTTATATTTTTATATTTTATTATATTTATTAATTATTTATTGATAATATATTATTTAATTTCGTTAAAATCATTAGTTAAATTCTGTTACTAATTATTCTTACAAAATTGTTTCTTATTTTTCCATTTGCAAACATATTTGTCATAATTTGTTTTTTTTCTAATAACTTTCTTTTATTAAGATATTATATTTAAATAATTGAAATTTGTGTGTGGAAGGATCATTACTATCAGAGCCCAAACGTGAAAGTCTTTGAAATTACAACTTTTAGAAGTGGCTCAACAAATTTATGTCAGTATGGAAAATTAGGATTAAGTTAATCCAATTTGTGCAAATAGTGTTTTTTGCTAAACAAAAAATTTAGACAAGAAATAAGGGTAAATAATTAGTTCAATGAATGAATTTAGTTGAAAAAAATATGGACAATGAGTAAGCGAGAAAAATAGTTTGTTATGTGAACTTCTCTCGAGATTTATAATTCACCATTTTTGAAAACTTCTGCTTCAGAGGATTCCTTGCAATTAACAGAAACCATTCTAGATCTTGTACTGAAATATCTCATTGTTCCATTGCTTAAAGCTATTTCTATGCTTCTCTCCACCATTTTTTATTTTATTTTTTCATTTTTTGATGTATTTTGATGTTTTTCATGGATGAGTACCTAAACTCTCCACTGTTTAAGATTAGATGTAACGAAGTGTAGTGTGAAGTAATTGTTTATATTTCTTTTTCATGATTTTAGTTTAATGTTATTATCTTACTTTTAGTCTAATACTTGTTATGGGATTGTACGTAGCTTTGATTGGAAAACACATTTGTTGTCTTGAAATGAAGTAAAAATACTCAACAAGTTCGGTTTATTGATTTATCTTGTAGTCATCAACCTTAATTACCTATATAATTACCTATAAATAAAGTAAATAAACATAACAAATTTACGTAAAATATATATATATATATATATATATATATATATATATATATATATATATATAATCATGTATTTTGAAATTTAAATTCCGTAAAAAACAATATTTGTATCCTCAAATTACTTGTAAATCTTCTTCTAAAATTAAATGCAAACATATAAAAACATCAAATGAAGAAATTAGTCGTTAAACAGAAAT